GGTACCCGAAGATCCTTTTGTTCGAAGACGGATTGCTCAGAAGACCCGTTTCATTTTGTTCATATATACTATGTATCACAACTGTACAACTTTACTTTTGAAACAATTGTAAAAACTTTCTTTATGTAATGTAATGGTTGTTTTACTTTGCTTACTATGTGCACTGGATTTGATACTCAACGTGGAGTCAACCCCGGAAATGTTTCCGCCTTCGATTTTCGGGGTGTGACATATTGGTATCAGAGCCCTTGTTTATAGTGAATAAGGTATACCAAACCTTACATGCTATAAAACTATAAACACTAAAGGTCCTAAGTGCTCTGAATTAAAAGTATCTTCAAACTATAAGTATTTTCAAAAGTATACAAGTATACCAAAACGTCGGGATCCGTAACTACAAGTAGAACAAAACATAAGTAAACGGGTGTTGTATGTTGCGGTTAAACCTGGGCCATTATGTAGTTGTGTCTAGGATCAATATAGCTTGGCCAACTATATTCATTCAAGAACAGCCAACATGTACTTGGGAGTGACTTTGGTGTGCGGCATGCCTAAAACTTACCCTAACACCACAAACATCGAACCATTGTCGTAGCGAACCATGAAATACTATGGGAGTAGTTCTCCAGCCAATGCTTTATAGAAATTCTTATTCAAGCAATGGTACCTAATCATTTCTTAGCGATAAATTATCTGCTTTGATAACTCTTTCCTGCTTTATCGCTTATTCGGGATATATAACTGTCATATCTATCGATTCAATTTAGAGGAATTACCATCCTCTCTCTTTCTTGATCTTATTAGATCAAGATGCCTCCCAGAAAGAGACCCAGCTCAAAGAACAACAACAATCCTCCTCCGCCACCACCTCCTCCTCAGTTTGATCTTACATCGCTTCAGATAGTTCTGACCGCTGCAATGGTAGTAGCTATGTCACAAATGAACTTTGGTAGCTCAGGACGTGGTCCTCAGCCCTAAAACCAAGAAAATGATCAGAGACACCGAAAGGAGGGTTCCTATAAGGATTTCATGAATGCGAAACCAACATCTTTCAATGGCACTGAAGGTGTCATTTCCTTATCCTAATGGTTCGAGAAAATCGAATCCATCTTCGAAATATGTGCTTGTCCGGAATCTGATAAGGTCAAGTTCGCAGCCTGTACCTTCATTGATGAAGCCTTGACTTGGTGGAATGGCCGAGTCAAATCTCTGACACTACCCGTAGCCAAAACCATGGGTTGGGAAGCCATGAAAGAACTCCTGATAGCCGAATACTGCCCCCGTGGCGAAATGCAGAAACTAGAGCACGAGCTCTGGAACCTGAAGATGAAGGGTTCCGATATTTTGATTCGGGTGTTGAAAGGATTTTTGTTAGTCATACATTCAAACATAACCTAAAACATAATCCCCAACCTTTAACTGAAACGTTTACCGTCGAGATGGCTAACGGTGAGAAAGAAAGCGCCAGCGAGTTGTTCGTAGGTTGTACCCTTACCCTGAATCACGAATCATTTCCCATCGATCTTATGCCAGTCTCCATTAAGAGCTTTGATGTTATCATTGGCTTGGATTGGTTGTCACACCCCCAAACCAGAACGGCGGAAACGTTTGGGGGCGGAGGACGTCATATTCAGTATCATAACAATTCATAGAAAGGAAAGCACACACCACCATATATAGTAAGTTTGCAAGATGTTTACATAGTTGTATTCATTACATGTTCAAAAGATAAGTACATAAACATCATTCAAAAGAAGTAATTAATGCCAGCGCGTTAATCCCAAAAGTTGATTCCCAACCTGCTTAGCGATTTCCTGAGAATACAAGTTATTTCAAAGAAAAAGTGTCAACAATTAAGTTGGTGAGTCCATAAGTAGTTTAGAAAAATTGGATGCCATTCCAAAATGGGTGTATGTTTTCCAGTAAACGTAGCATTTCAAAATGTAAAGAGTTGTGATTTGTTGTGTTGAAAATGAATGCATTAGATCCAGAAAATCCCATATTTTCCCTAATAGTTGAAATACGAATTGTTGTGTTTTCCAAGAAAAACCCTTATTTTCTTATAAAAGTATGAAATGCATATAAATATTCGTGTTATAAGTTGTAAATGATTGCACCGGGAAAATCCCTTATTTTCCTATTAGTTGTTTGGTTTGTATGCAGGAAAAACCCTTATTTTCCTCACACAAAATGGCAGTCTGTAAGACCGAAAATTGCAAGAAACCGACGTTTCTCGTAAGTTGTGTCATAGTTTTATATATAATAAAACTACGCGAAGATCGAATCGGTTGGATGAAGAATAGTTTTAATAGCTACTCGTTCATCAAAGCTTAATATCATAATAATTGTATATCCGATGAGTTCTATAACCATACTAAACATAATATGCCTGTAACGACGTTCTTCAGGCGTCGCAGTGCTATGACAACTATCACCCCAAAAGACGGACTGTAGCTAACAGTCAGTGCGCGGGATCATGACTTCCCGTATAGATCTATACACATTTGACACGTTCTCGTCGCGTGAGATTCTGGTTATAGACAGGACCTGATGCATTACTTTCTAATAAAGAAAAGTAACGTTTGAAGATGTACGCGTCTCATGGATTCTCAATTAAGTTTATATTAAAGTGATAGTTTTGTATGCAAAGTTTATCCTTTTTCAAAATATTTGACAAAGCAAAATCATAAGTTGTTAGAATGTATAAAACGATTTAACAATGAAAGATCATTATATTCTTCGTATAAGTCTAATGCACACAAAGTATGACAAGAGTTTTCCATAATAGTAATGAGTTCCAAGTGGTTTATTTGATAACACAAGTGAAGTGAAACTTTAAAAAATACACGATAATAACCGTATGTTTACTTGTATCCCCCCCCCCCTAAAAGAGTATAAAAGCATTTAAAAATGTAATTAAAGTGTGTTTGAAAGGGGTATGAACTCACTTGATTGATTGAAGAAAGCGTGATGAAGACCGAGCAGAACTTCTACTCGAGAAAGCGGATCTCTCGAGATTCTCGGGAAATATCGGGAGTCTCGGGAGTGTAAAACTTTCTTCCCACCTTGGATATGAAAACCGGGCCGTTGGGATGATTCCGAGGGTTGAAACGCAGAGCTTCGACGCGAGAAAGGAAGGAAATTAGCAATTTTGGCCGGCACCCTCGCATGCTATTTATAGGGGTCTGAGGGGGTTGCGTTACGCGGGGCGTACTAGAGTACGCGCTGCGTACTCAGGCGTCATGCATTAGCGCATCCTCGGTCGAAACAATGGAGCGACGTGGACGAACCGGAGCCTAGCATCCGAGTACGCTGGGCGTACGACGGTACGCTGGGCGTACGAGGGATCGGACCGGTGACTCCTCCTTCGGATAATACCGGGATTTAATTTAATTTATATTTAAATTAACTAACAAACTTCAAAAATTCATATCTTTCTCATACGAACTCCGTTTTCGAAGTTCTTTATATCCACGCGAAGGTGAGACTACGATCTACAACTTTCGTTTAGACTCCATCGGCTAATTTTGACTTTATTTTTAATATTATATTTTTAATAGGTCGGGACAGGAAAAGTCCGTTAAAGTTCCATAACTTCTTCATCCGACGTCCGTTTTCCTCAGAATTTTTACCGTTGCGGTAGAATTGTTGATCCCTTTGATTCTCATTTAGGTTGTTTTGGCCAAAAGTCTCTCGATCTCTATTTCGAGTTTTTAGCTGTCTACTGCAATATCTGTAACTTAGAAAAATCACAACTTCCTCATACGAAGTCAGATTCGAACGTTCTTTTTATGTACTGTTACGGTTTGACGATATCTATGACTTTCATTTAGACACCTAAGGTCAAAAAGTGTTTTGTTGAAACTTTGCATTTTTACGTAACTTCGTATTGCCGATTTTTGTCGGGAAACTTAGAATGGTCATAACTTCTTCGTTATAACTCGGATTTTAGTCACTACTAGAAAAAAGGCCTTTTACGACGAGCAAAATACGACGCTCATTGATCTATGTTACGCAAAGGAGAGTGACATTAGAAAAATGTCATCTCTTCAAAAAATTTAAGGATAGAAGACACGCATTATTCCGCGCCCTTAAATTAGTGTCTAAAAAAAACACGGAGGGCACCTATAATAAAATGTGCGTCGTCTAAGGATGTCTCTTTATATTTTTTAATGGAACGCGCGTTCCATTGTTTAATAGTGGGGGAAAGGGGGAAATGAAATTCTGAAAAAATTAAAAACCCCGCCATGCTCTCCTCTACCTTCTTTCAATCGTTCTTCTCTCTCTCTCTCTCTCAATCAAATACCAAAAATCGACTATTGTTGGAACTAGGGTTATCGAAGGTTTTTTGGTCACCAGGCCATGAAATTGATCAAAGGGGTACAGTTTTTGGAACCATGACTATTGTTGGAACTAGGGTTTCTGTTCAAAAACCCTTCATCTACTTCCCTCGATCTTCAGTTCCTCAAGTACTTTCTCAACCTCTCAATCAATAGAAGAGCTGCATCACAACTACAAATTTAGAGTGATTTCCATATCAAGTAGAACAATAGCTCCATTAAAGTCAAGGTCTCGAAACTCCATGGTCAATCACCATCAACATTCTACTTCTTTATTTGTTCCAGAGGTTTGTCTTCCTTTATTACGAGTTTTATAACCTTTTTAATCAAACTCGATTAGCCCTCGATACCTAATGTTATCTTTTGCGTTGTTGCTTCTGCCTTGTTCTTCTTGAAACCTCCCCACACTCTCATGTCGAAACATAATTTATGATATCGAGTTGGAAATCAATAGAAATGGCTATGAAGGTCGGTTGGGTTGGACGATTCTCTGGAGGACGAGAGAGATTTGGACATGGCAGATCATAGGGCTACAGAGATTGAGCTTGATACCATGGAGGGTTTTGCGTCAAGGGAAAAGCTCCACCATCATCTCAACGACCAAGGTTGGTTAGGGTTTCTGTTTTTTTTTGTTTTATTTCCATTCCTTCACCATCACCAATGTTACTTTGTGCTTCATCTGATGTACGATTACCTTCTCCTTGTTATGGTGGCAATACTCCTATGGGTTGCTCTGATTCTCCATGGGATAATTTTGCCCCTTCTCTTGTTCTAATTAGGGAAATAATGAGAGTATGATGTTAGAGATGGAGTACACCTCTGAGAGTATAAAGGTTGTTGCAATACATCTTTGCATTAATTATTCCATTAGACTCTCTGTATTGATGTCCTCATAATAGGGAGCTTAGACATACTCTCAAGTGTCAACATTAAAACAAAAGATTGAATTCTTCATTTAATGTAGAAAAATTTGAAAGTTGTAATAAAACTTTATAATGATGTAATAAGGTAACATTGGTATTATAGCTACAGTAAAGTCTACGGTTGGTTTGGAATTTTAAAATGATTAGGTTTCATCTCAGGAATCATGGAGCTTAACTTTATTTCAGGAATCATGTACATCCATCTTGGGTCAAATCTGAATTACTAAGCTATAAACAGGTTTCCACATCAATGGTACAACACATGCTTGATTACGTTTTGGAAAAGTCAAGTCCATTAACTGGTACCCCACATGGAGAAAAAGAAAAAGAAAGTAAAAACCCATTTGAAACCTGATGACGCTGGCCATACCTGATGCAGCAAGCTCACATTTTTAAGCACATTCTTGACATTTTGTTACTAAAGAGCGACATAGACAACAGGTCTGATCTTAAATTCTTGGATATCTCTGATTTTTTTCTTCTCACTCAACTTAGTAAAGAAATGACATCCCCACAGAGTTGCTAACTATTCCAGCAATACGGTCACATCTATGATCTGTTACTGTAGAGTTGCTAATTATTTAAGCTAATCACATTTTTTTGAACTTTAAACTGTTAAATCTTTATATAAAAAATGTTATAGATATGAATCTTAATAGTTTAATAAGGAATTGGGATATCAAGTTGAGGATGCAATCTGAAGTGGGTTCTTCTACAAGGGGTTATTTTGAACAACAGTCATAAATAATTCTTATGTAATTTAATAATAAGTAAATTTATATAAAGCCTTGAAGAAATTAGCAAAAAAAGTGTTAAAGTAAACATTGCAGTATGGATTGAAACTATTAAGTTATTGATTTTTGTTCAAAATCTTACAAAATATAATGTTAAAAATGTTTATGAAGTCCTCAAGCTTCTATTGCAGGTGTGTCAATATAGTGAAATTTTACACTTTATAATTTCACATAATTATGAGCCATAAAGAAAATAGAAGGTCCTGGTACGTTTTATTTATTTATTTTTGAAACAGGGGGAGGGAAATGAAAAGATCCCTACAGATGTTCAATCTTCTTCTTCTTCTTTTTCACCATCTAGACACCATGAAAGGAAAGTTCTTTTTGTGTGTTTTCATGACTATTACCTTTTCTTACTTAATTAACATATGTAGGTGTGGGGGTGTTATCGGAAAATACGTTGAAGGGGAACTGAAGCCACCTTCTCTTGGTAAGTGGAAAAGTTTTTTATGTGATTATATATGTTGCAGATCAATCGAGTTGAATTTATTCACTGTAAATCATTTCTACATAGGGATATAAAGCCAGACAACTTCCTTATGAGTTTAGGGAGGTGTGCTAATCAGGTTTCATTCCATAATTTGTTCCATATTTCATTGTACATTTTGTTTTTTTTTATAGTTTTATACATAAAACATATATAAACCTACATGTTACAGGTCTATGCTATTGATTTCGGGCTAGCCAAGAAATATAGAGACTCTTCAACTCATCGGCACATTCCATATAGGTGAGTGATTTTTTTTTAAACTTTCATCAGCAATCTTTTATTCATAAAAAAGTGAACCCTAATCAATCTAAGTTTTATGTCTTATAAATTGCAGAGAGAACAAGAATTTGACAGGGACAGCTAGATATGCAAGCATGAACCCAAGCCTGATGGAACATAAGAGGTCAGTTTAATGTGAACTTATTGTATGTTTGATAGTTGTTGGGAAATGGGAATAATGATTGATGTAAAAACTGCAAATAATAACTAATCTTAGATGGGATGTCATATAGGTTTTGAATCTAAAGTAGAATAAGAAAATCACCATCTGAATCTATTTGTTTATGTTGTAATCATAAAACATTTTTCAGGAAGTTGGTAAATTGAGAAAAAGAGAATGCATCATCTGTACTTTAAGGTATGGTGAAAATATTTAGAGAAGTTGCCATTTATCTTGATTGTCTTTGAATTTCAAACTTTGATGAGAATAGGGAATTTATACTTGTGGGGACTACTTTATTTTGATTGTTATAATTAAAGTATTAAAGAGGAAGTCGAGTAGTATAAGGTGGTGTTTGGATGAGCGTTTTACGACTTTTGTGTTATAATTAAAGTATTAAGGAGCTGTTTGGATGATTGTTATAATTAAAGCATCAATACAATCCAAAAATCACCAAGATTTGCATCCTTGTGTTTTCATAGTATTTTCCTTGATCTGTTGTTTTATAGTTCTCATGTGTAATTATTTTTTTCCTTGATCTGTTGTTTTATAGTTCTCATGTGTAATTATTTGTTTCTCTCAGCTTCCTGCACCAAACCGAGGCGAGATTGTTAGACAGATTGATGATCCATAAAGAACCAAGCTTCAGTACCTTGGCAAGCTTCTATCACTTGAAATGGAAAAAATTCTTCCAAAATGAATAGGGGAAGTTCAAGTATGTACTTAATCACTTTTAGTTATCATCGCATCTTATTAAGTTGTATCTTATTAAATAAAGTTTTTTCATGGCAGGAATTCATTGTTATGTGCAAATATGCTGTGGGCTTAAGCCAACAATTTAACAGATCGGTCATACCTTCTGAACGTAAGATCTATTCCCATTTCCTTTCATATTTCAAAAATAAAGAAAAATAACATTACAACCTTAATTGGTTACCTTCTATCTTATAAACTGTTAAATGTTGTTGTGTACGATGGAATGCATGCATTGCTCTAGTCTGCGGAAATGCTTTTATTTGGTAAGTGATACCTAAACCTTGAGAAATGTCAATTTTATCCTTGAAAACCTTAAAGGAAATAGTACATTTCAATAATTGATTACTTTTGAGAGGTGGCTTCTCTCCCTCATTTACCGTACATTTCATTTGATGCCTACTACTGCACTTTTAATATAAGGGTAAAAAAAGGATTATAAATCTCTTGTAGAGTTGTATTTTATGAGGAAAGATTCAAGAATGAAGAAAAGTAAGTAATCTTATGATATTGTGATTGTCCCTTTTTCTAGATCAGGTTTAATTTGGATTTCAAGCTCACCAGCATCTCCAAGTAATGAGGGATCTGTTACACTAAAGAATATCAGCTTATCAAGAGCATCACTTGCATTACTAAAAGAAGGTTTCTTGTTAGAACTTTTGTTTTTAAAAACGATAAAAGATGGAAATCAAGCATGAAACATGTAGACTGTAGAGATGTTTTTACATGTAAATTTATATATTGTAAGAAATAGAATTGTAAGACATTAAAGTTTATGAAATGGATTATATTTTTTGTATATGATATTTTATTTTATATTGTGAGGCATTAAATGCAAATTTAATTTGAAAATTAGTAAATCTATAAAAAATAATTTTTTTTTAACATTTAAAATTATGATATGTAAACATGTGTGTCATCTTCATTTATGACATGACCTTTCTTGACAGAGGCTTTCTTGATACGCATTGCGTGTCATTAACACTCGCGTCGTAAGGTTACGACACGCGAATGCGTATCGTCTTCCTTTATGACAGGCCCTTCCTTGATACGCATTGCGTGTCGTAACCGCGCGTTGTAAATGCGCGTCATAAATGCGCGTCGTCTGAGCGTTTTACGACGCGCAATGAGCATCGTAAAAGGCCTTTTTTCTAGTAGTGAGTGTTCTTTATATGTATGAAAACCTTGTTACAATATCTACCACTTAGTATACTTAAGTACGGTTTTATAAAATTTTAAATTTTGACCTGAATTTTGCTGTTGTTACATTATCCCCCCGTTAGAGAGAATTTCGTCCCGAAATTCGCATTTTTACTGGGACTCCGATACTTGCAGGCAGACGTGAGTGCTTATGGTCCATTTGTTCCTCTCGTTCCTTTATGAATCTAGATCCTAATGTGCGTGTTTCAGCGGACCTTCATTTCTCCGCCTATCACTGCGACCGATCGGGATCGTGCGGTTTTTGGGTTTATTTATTTATGTTCTTCTAAGCGTTAGCATATTCACTTGATGAATTAGGGCAGCCATGTTTTGAAGTTCATGGTTGGATTCAATGCTAGTTTCTGAGCTTGGATTTGACTTGTTGTAAGAGTGGTTTTTCTAAATGATCTGTTGGGGGATACTACGGGAAAGTTGTAATGATTCCTCACATGAGTACTTCGGGGTTTTGAAAGTAGAAACCATACCAGGTGCGTCAATCATAGTCTCAGGTATATGAGCCGTATATAGTTAGGCTTGAAACTGTGGGTCTTTGGATTGAACTTGACGTACTACATGTGTGGTACTTCGGGGCGGTTCGTTGAATTTTTCTTCGGAAAGGATGAGAAACAATAAGTGCTCTATGCACGAGTAATTTGGTATTCTACAATGACGGCTTTGCTAGAAAGAGAATTTCGGAGGAAGGGATGTACGTATGAAGCTGATCTTTTTTTTTTTTTTTTTTTTTTTTTTTTTTTTTTGAGGATCAAATTGAATCAAGTCATATGATAATGTCAGAATCATAAGGAAACTTAAAGACATTAGATTTGAACGTAAGATGTTTACAGACAAAACATAATCGTGCAACCATCAACAGAGTTACAACACTTTAGACTACTATAAGACTATTGCTGCGAATAAGGTATACTACAAAAGGTAAGTATACGCAGTACGAGCATCCCTATACCGACGGGATCCCACAAGAGATAAGACTCTAGTTGCACTAGTTTTAAACATGTTTTAAAAAGACATACATAATACTGACTATTGGAAGTGAACGTATACTATAGTAGGTTCTTTTGTTGCTTCTTTCCATTCTGAGGTCAAACTCCTCCGGATTCGCCGTCGTCCTTCTCTGTTGGACAGTCCCTCTTGAAGTGTCCCATTACGCCGCATAGATGGCATATTCGAGAGATTTCGACATTGGTGTTTGAGGTAATGTGTTGGGTCCGAGTCCAGCAGCAATTTGTAGTATGTCCGTTCTTGTTGCATTTAAAGCAGTGTAACGGACGACAACTACCTAGATGATGGAAGCCGCACTTATTGCATTCCAGTAGGTTTCCAGCATACTGCCTAGCTGGTGTAGGGACAATTGGGATACCAGAAGGGATGGTAGTAGGATGTACAGATGTCGTGGCTGCGAAGGTTGCCACATGTTGTCGTCTTTTGCTCGTCCCTTGGGGTGATTTTCCTTTAGCTTTAGCCCAGAGCTTTCGTTTGTTATTCTTGGGCTTGGGATTCGGGGTTTCGTGGTAATTTGTTGCCCGTTGAGGTATTTGATGGTTACTTGGATTGGAGTTATTGTTAACAATCCCGCTAACATTCGCGCTGTTAGCGTTAAGGTGGGTCAGAACAACTGATACGGCAGCCGAGACTGCAGCTTGAAAGGTAACTGCATCAATCTGAAGAGTTGGTGTTTGGTTGATGGGTTGATCGTTTTTCTTTGGCGACATGATTCTGATAAGGAAATAACAAGAAGAACTATAAGTTTTAATGATTCAAAAGTCGCGCATTAGTGTTCTGTTCTATCAGAAGTTTGGTTTACCCCTGAATAGGGTTTTGAGTTCGACTCATAAGGAGAGTGGATGAACTCATGAATTGGAGAGGTATGCAAAGGGTTTAATAAAGGAAATACATCATATTATAAAACATGGTGCATTACATTTTGTAGTTAGGAAAATTTGACCTATCTAAAGGTCTCCGATTACGAGGTTAAGAAAAGTAAGGACTTTATCCGAGGTCTTATGCTATGACAAAATTTTGAAAGTCAGACAAGTATTATTTGTTACGTGAGCTGGCTAGATGGGTCTTAGATTATGCCAACTGACGCTCCATCTCGAGCATACGTAGTTCATGTCTTGCCTGGCGTGCCCGAAGTTCTATCACTTCGGTTTGAGTTGTCGTTAGCTCTCTCTGCAATGCTTCGTTTCGATTTACGATTCTCCCGTGAGATAATCCTAACTATCGGATGCGAACTGTGTTGACTCCAGTGTTCGCATCATTTTCCTCAGTTTGATGGATGGTCGTCCGTCCTTGCTCACCAAGGCGAGAAATTCGACGAACCAATATAGGAAGGGCTCTGTCTGCTGAGCCTCCCTCGCTTAGGTTGTAGAAGCTTCGGTCTCCGTTGAATGGAAGGGGTTGATCCTGTTTGCGGCTCCACCTATCCAGGTTAGTTTCCCAAAGGGGCGTCGAGCCATGAAATTCCGGTCGAGGATTAGGATTTTGAATTGGAGCCGTTAAGGGTAGGTTATTGTTCTCTGGATCTGAGTCTGATTCTTCTTACATTCCTTCTTCAGGATCATTCTCTATCCCTTCTCTATTACCATGGTTGGGGTAGTAGGGGTCACCGGGGTGATGGAATCCAGCCACTTGAGTCTATACGAGAATAGGGTTAAGAATGGACTATAAGCTAAAGCACATGGAATTTAATCTTAAATTTAATGGTTGAAGGCACTCGAATACTCCCTTAGTATTCTTTAATGATATGCTTTTGGTAAGTTTTAAATTTGTTGTCCATTGTAGATGCTCCTTGGCATACGTTAGTCGGCCCTTGGACAAATGTAGTTGATCAGGCTACATTCTTCCCAGTGGCTACTTTAATGATATGCTTTTGGTAAGTTTTAAATTTGTTGTTTGGTTTGTATGCAGGAAAACCCCTTATTTTCCTCACACAAAATGGCAGTCTGTAAGACCGAAAATTGCAAGAAACCGACGTTTCTCGTAAATTGTGTCATAGTTTTATATATAATAAAACTACGCGAAGATCGAACCGGTTGGATGAAGAATAGTTTTAATAGCAACTCGTTCATCAAAGCTTAATATCATAATAATTGAATATCCAATGAGTTCTATAACCATACTAAACATAATATGTCTGTAACGACGTTCTTCAGGCGTCGCAGTGCTATGACAACTGTTACCCCAAAAGACGGACTGTAGCTAACAGTCAGGGCGCGGGATCATGACTTCCCGTATAGATCTATACACATTTGACACGTTCTCGTCGCGGAAGATTCTGGTTATAGACAGGACCTGATGCATTACTTTCTAATAAAGAAAAGTAACGTTTGAAGATGTATGCGTCTCATGGATTCTCAATTAAGTTTATATTAAAGTGATAGTTTTGTATGCAAAGTTTATCCTTTTTCAAAATATTTGACAAAGCAAAATCATAAGTTTTTAGAATGTATAAAACGATTTAACAATGAAAGATCATTATATGCTTCGTATAAGTCTAATGCACACAAAGTATGACAAGAGTTTTCCATAAAAGTAATGAGTTCCAAGTGGTTTATTTGATAACACAAGTGAAGTGAAACTTTATAAAATACACGATAATAACCGTATGTTACCTTGTATCCCCCCCCCCCTAAAAGAGTATAAAAGCATTTAAAAATGTATTTAAAGTGTGTTTGAAAGGGGTATGAACTCACTTGATTGATTGAAGAAAGCGTGACGAAAACCAAGCAGAACTTATACTCGAGAAAGCGGATCTCTCGAGATTCTCGGGAAATATCAGGAGTGTAAAACTTTCTTCCCACCTTGGATATGAAAACCAGGCCTTTGGGATGATTCCGAGGGTTGAAACGCAGAGCTTCGATGCGAGAAAGGAAGGAAATTAGCAATTTTGGCCGGCACCCTCGCATGCTATTTATAGGGGTCTGAGGGGGTTGCGTTACGCGGGGTGTACTAGAGTACGCGCTGCGTACTCAGGCGTCATGCATGAGCGCATCCTCGGTCGAAACATTGGAGCGACGTGGACGAACCGGAGCCTAGCATCCGAGTACGCTGGGCGTACGAGGGATCGGACCGGTGACTCCTCCTTCGGATAATACCGGGATTTAATTTAATTTATATTTAAATTAACTAACAAACTTCAAAAATTCATATCTTTCTCATACGAACTCCGTTTTCGACGTTCTTTATATCCACGCGAAGGTGAGACTACGATCTACAACTTTCGTTTAGACTCCGTCGGCTAGTTTTGATTTATTTTTAATAGGTCGGGACAGGAAAAGTCCGTTAAAGTTCCATAACTTCTTCATCCGACGTCCGTTTTCGTCAGACTTTTTACCGTTGCACTAGAATTGTTGATCCCTTTGATTCTCATTTAGGTTGTTTTGGCCAAAAGTCTCTCGATCTCTATTTCGAGTTTTTAGCTGTCTACTGCTATATCTGTAACTTAGAAAAATCACAACTTCCTCATACGAAGTCAGAT